GGCCCCAGTCGGCGCCGCCTCTACCACCCGCTCGCCAGCTCCGCGCCCGCCCAGGCGCCGCCTCAGCCGCTCGCGCGCCCGCGCGGCCAGGATATTACATGGCAACCGCACGCTTCCGGTGCCGGCTACCGCGCGCGCCCCTCCGGGTCCCGACTGCGCACGCGCGCCCCCTGCCGGCCGGAGAGCGCACGCGCACGTTCTTTACCGCGGGAGAGGCCGCCTCTGTCAGTGAGTTGAGCAGGTCGAGCCTAGAGGGGCCGTAGGAGGTGCAGCGCCCCCTGGAGTCCCGGAGGTAACCCTAACAGGTTGGGAAAGGCGCTTAGTTTAAACTTGGCCAGGGAGGTTGGGAAGTAGAGGGGCCCCTGCTTACAATTCTCCAGATACCTGTTTGCTCATCTTAGGTAAATCCAGTTCCTCTAAGTGTTCAGGCTCCGTCCCCTCTTTCTTTCCTTTTTTTTGAGACGGAGTCCTGCTTTGTCTCCCAGGCTGGAGTGCAGCGGCGTGGTCTCGGCTCACTGTAACCTCCGCCTCCCGGGTTCAAGCGATTCTCTTGCTTCAACCTCCCGAGTAGCTGGGACTACAGGCGTGTGCCACCACGCTTGGCTAATTTTTGCATTTTTAGTAACGGGGTTTCGCCATACTGGCCAAGCTGGTCTCAGTATCCTGACCTCCACCCTCCTCAGCCTCCCAAAGTGCTGGGATCACTGCAATAAACCCCGGTGCCCGGCCACCCCTCCTCCCCTCTCTCTGTCGCGTGTTCATCCATTCACTTGCCCACGTGACACATCTAGACATCTAGGTCCATCTTCATGCCCTAACCATATTTCCTACCAGTTCTCCCCTCCAATTCTGACACGGCAGCCAGAACGATGCTTTTAGAATGCAATTCAGATCACAGCAGTGTCCTGCTTTAATTCCGCCTACCACCCTTAAAATACATTCCCAACTTCCTAACCCGTTCTACAAAGCCTGCATAATTTGGCCCCTTAACTAACTCTCTCTCTCTCCTCTCTCTCTGTCTCTGTCTCTCTCTCTCAAGTAGAGACAGGGTCTTGCTATGTTGCCGAGGCTGGTCTGAAACTCCTGGGCTCGAGCGATCCTCCCGTCTCAACCTCTTTTTTTTTTGGGGGGACGGAGTTTCGCTTTTGTTACCCAGGCTGGAGTGCAATGGCGCGATCTTGGCTCACCGCAACCTCCACCTCCTGGGTTCAGGCAATTCTCCTGCCTCAGCCTCCTGAGTAGCTGGGATTACAGGCACGCGCCACCATGCCCAGCTAATTTTTTGTATTTTTTTTTTTTAGTAGAGACGGGGTTTCACCATGTTGACCAGGATGGTCTCGATCTCTTGACCTCGTGATCCACCCGCCTCGGCCTCCCAAAGTGTTGGGATTACAGGCGTTAGCCGCCATGCCCAGCCCCCATCAACTCTTCTGAACTCTTCTCTTCCCTTCTATAATTCATAATCGCTGATGCCTATGAGACTCTGCTAGCATCGTTTCCCTCTTCAACATTATTCAGGAATCTTTCCCCCACCCTTTGTACCTAAGAAGGAGTCTTCGTGGAATGTCACCTCTACCAGAAAGACTTCCCAGACTGATACCTGGTTATTGACATGGATTTTTATATCAACTGTTATTTATAAAAATGTATTGAATGAGGCCAGGCGCTGTGGCTCATGCCTGTAATTTCAGCACTTTGGGAGTCTGAGGTGGATGGATCACCCGAGGTCAGGAGTTCAAGACCATCCAGCCTGATCAGTATGATGAAGCCCCGTCTCTACTAAAAATACCAAAAACTTAGAAGGGCGTGGTGGTGCATGCCTGTAATCCCAGCTACTTGGGAGGCTGAGGCAGGAGAATCGCTTGAATCTGGGAGGTGGAGGTTGCAGTGAGCTGAGATCGTGCCACTGCATTCCAGGCTGGGAAACAAGAAACAAAACTTGGCCTGAAAACAAAAACTAAATAAATAATGTATTGAATGCTTTGGAAATAATGGATTGGAATGACTAAATGAACCAAAAAAGAAGAACAAGAAAGTGTTGACAGATAAAAACCTGGAAACTTCAAAGTGTTAAAATCGCTGACAGATTTGGTTGATTTTTTTTGAAGTAGAAGATTGCTGAAAGTTTCCAAAAGCCTCAAAAGAGGGCAGTGGACTAGATCAATCGAGGATTATTTCAGAATACACACACACTAATCTCATGTCCCAAGATTTTTACGGGGCTATTAGGAAAAGTTTGAACGAGCTTATTGATGTGCTCTGATAAGCCCTGATAATCGCTTGTTGGCCAGGTGCAGCGGCTCCTGCCTGTAATCCTAGCACGTTGGGAGATTGCAGCAGGTGAATCACCTCAGCTCAGGAGTCTGAGACCAGCCTGGGCAACGTGGCAAAACCCCGTTTCTACTAAAAATACAAAAAAATAAAAACAACAAAAAATCTTATTGATGTTTTCGTGCTGCAAAAAAAAAAAAAAAAAATAAAAAGAAAAAAATAAAAAAAAAAAAAATGGCAGGGCATGGTGGCACTCGCCTGTAATCCTAGCTACTTGGGAGGGTGAAGCAGGAGAATCACTTGAACCCAGGAGGCGGAGCTTGCAGTGAGCATAGATTACGACATTGGACTCCAGCCTGGGCAATAGAGCAAGACTCTTGTCTCAGAAAAAAAGGGCGGTGGGGGGGGGAGCTTGTTGATGTGCCTTTAACTGTGATCCACCGGCCTAATATCATTGGAAAATGCCAGAATGTCAGAGAAATGGGGGAAACGTTCTCATAGCTCAAACAGGGAAACTGAAACATTGAGGTGTCATCAAGGCGACTTGCTCAAAGTGGTGTCCCCAGATTGTCTATTTCTCCACACTTTTCCCAGCCGATACTACTGGCTTAATTATTCAATCTACTTCGATAGAATTCCAAACGTCGGCTAAATTTCAATCTTCCCTGCTCACCTCTGCTTCTGAGATTAAATTGGTGCTGAAGAAAACCTGTTTTGGCTCGGTGTGGTGGCTCACACCTGCAATCCCAGCACTTTGGGAGGCCGAGGTGCGCAGACACCCTGAGGTCAGGAGTTCAAAACGAGCCTGGCCAACATGGTGAAACCCAGTCTCTACTAAAAATACAAAAGTTAGCTAGGCGTGGTGGCACATGCCTGTAGTCGCAGGTACTCCGAGGCTGAGGCAAAATTGTTTGAACTCGAGAGGCGGAGGTTGCAGTGAGCCAAAATCGCACCACCCCACTCCAGCCTGGGCGACACAGCAAGACTCCGACTCGAGAAAAAAAAAATGGCCGGGTGCGGTGGCTCAAGCCTGTAATCATAACACTTTGGGATGCTAAGGCGGGCGGATCACGAGGTCAAGAGATTGAGACCATCCTGGCCAACATAGTGAAACCCTGTCTCTACTAAAAATACAAAAATTAGCCGGGTGTGGTGGCACGCACCTATAGTCCCAGCTACTCCGGAGGCTGAGGCGGAAGAATAGCTTGAACCCGGGAGATGGAGGTTGCAGTGAGCTGAGATTGCCCCACTGTGCTCCAGCCTGGCGACAGAGCAAGACTTCGTCTCAAAAAAAAAAAAAAAAAAAAAAAATCTGCCGGGCGCGGTGGCTCAAGCCTGTAATCCCAGCACTTTGGGAGGCCGAGGCGGGTGGATCACGAGGTCAAAAGATCGAGACCATCCTGGTCAACATGGTGAAACCCCGTCTCTACCAAAAATACAAAAAATTAGCTGGGCATGGTGGTACGTGCCTGTAATCCCAGCTACTCAGGAGGCTGAGGCAGGAGAATTGCCTGAACCCAGGAGGCGGAGGTTGCGGTGAGCCGAGATCGCGCCATTGCACTCCAGCCTGGGTAACAAGAGTGAAACTCCGTCTCAAAAAAAAAAAAAAAAAAAAAAAAA